AAAAACTGTGATCGCTTGTTGATCTTTGTTGATGTAGAACACTCCGAGATTTAATCTGGAGTGAAAATATCGGCTTCAACGTGCATTAGCCAGTTTTTTCCGTTCTATACGAATAAACGACTCCCACAAGATACCCGTTATAGGACGAGTATTTCATGGAAGTTGTTTATCGTAATAAAGAACGGACTGAGTCCCAAAACCGTAACTTTCATATTCCCCTCCTAACCTTTGCCCTCTGGCTTTTGCATTGAGAAAATAAACCATCCAAAAAAAAAATGAAAGCCCTCTTGTTTAAGCTCGATGCGTCATACGAGCTCCAGCTCTCGACCTCATCTTCATCCTCGATAGTTCGGGATCACTCCGCGATCAATTCCAAGACGAGATTGACGTCATTCGACGGATTATACGTCATGTAACAATAGGAGACACGGCAACTCGGGTGATGCTCGTCCAGTTCAGGTAATTCTTGCAAATCATCGCTTCTAGCGGGTAGCGTTGCCAATTTTCACTTCTTCCAGTGGCACTCAGCACCTCGAGTTCAGTTTCAACAAGTTCACTACTAGAGACGAGTTGTTGGCTGCACTGGGCGTTCTTCGCCATGTGTCCGGCATTACTCGAATCGGTGGAGCGTTTGAGTTCACTCTTGAGACACTCAAGGATCCTTCAAATGTACAAGGAAAACCTCTGTTTTGAATGGCTATGAACTTTCCTTATGAAAGAAATGTTGCAGGGCATGAGGGATGCAAATGTGCCCAAGATCCTCTACCTGCTTTCGGATGGCCGAACTCATGACTATCCAAAAGATTGGGAAATGGCCAATGCTGTCAGAAGGTGAGTTTGGCGTCGCAAACTTTCCGTTTTTAACCAATTTACAAAGCCTGAACTTATTAAGGTCAATTCCAAACATAGATATTTGGGCGTATGGAACCGGTAACTACGTCGCGATGCCAGCCTTGCTCAACTACACTCAGGTAGAACATCAGACTTTCGTTCGTGACAGGACCTAGCATTGGTACAATGATCTTCTTCTCCTTAGAAGGCTCGCGCCTGTTCCGATCTGCTGTTCTTGTCAGCCTCTTCTACTTGCTTCTATCTACGGCATCTTCTGTCTCTACTTGGCCTCAAAAAAACTATGAATTATCCGCTCCGCTCAGCTCATACTCAAATGACGCCTATCCGAAATAAAACCACCCAGACAGTTCACAGGGAGGGATGGTCGGGGACCAGGAATGGCATAAGAGGGCAAGGAGAGGGGCGGGTGGCTCGAACACCAGCCTATCTAAAAGCTCAGCGAGATCCAGGGGCCTACTTGAGATGTTTTGGACAGGAGCAAGAATTACTGCTTTAATTCTAGAGAAATGGGGTCTTTCAACCTGACAGCCCATCGCTCACTCATATTTAATTGCACTTCGTCTAGGATGCTTCGAGGATTATCACAAATGCGAATCTGAACAAACTCGAGTCCATTTTTGATCCATTCCATGGGGTTGAAATATGCGAACAAATTCCTTGTGAGTTTTCTGCACATATCCCTTTGCCCTACCTTAACGATACGCTACCGTTTCAGCTTGTATAAAAGGCTCGGATAAGCCTGTGGATATGGTTCTCCTCATCGACGCTTCAGAATCCCTCACTCCGCTGTTTAATGATCAGATCCGCTTCGCAATCGATAGAATCATTGGTAACATCAACGTTCACCCCGATGCAGTGAGGTTAGTTTCTCCCGAACGTCTCCCTTTTTACCGCGGCTCAGCTTGGAAACAACTCCAGGCTGGCGCTGATCACCTACTCTGGACAGACGTTCGTCCACTTCAAGTTCAACAATCCACAGTTCGGCAACAACACGGCTGTGATTAGCCATCTGAAGACGTTACGACCCATCAAAGGGACTACGTCAACCAATCTCGCTCTCAGTGATACGTTTACGTTGCTGAAATCGCACGATGTTAATGACGGTGGGTGATTAGAGGTGTTTGCAAAGAGAAGGGTGGTTTCAAACTGAAGTAGGATGGATGTGTTCGACGTTGACGAAGCCGAGATTTGATGCTGTATCTACATGTGTAGCAGCGATTTCATTTGGTCCCATAACAACTCAGCCGAAATCTAGTCCAAAAAATTCAGGGTTACGAGAAGGTGTACCAAAGATGGTTATCATCCTAACCGATGGTCGCTCAGCGAGAAGTCCAAAGGATGTCGCTGATGCAATGAGAGCTGCAGGTGAGACATTGTGGTGACTTTTAGCATGTGTAATTGTGTATAGTTTAGGAATAACAATACTTGCGGTCAGTGTCGCACCTAGACCCTATGTACATGAGGATGAACTTCTCACGATAGCCGGCGACCAAAAGAGGTTTTTCACTCCCAGAAATGCACAGGTGTGGTTTTGCTGAGCGGATATACGCCAACAAGCTCTTTTCACTTACAATGTGGTGATGGCTTTCATGACAGCTCTTATATCGAATAGCTAATTTGTTGATTGTGCTATTTTATGAATTCGAACTCGATATCCTAATGTAGCCTACATACATATCTTCTCAAGATTATGCAATATTTGCAGCTTCCTATCGGCTTAGATATTACCTTCACTGGAAGCCTTTTGAATAACAGCAGTTTTAGGGTTTCGAGGCTGAACTAATGAAGCACGTCGGTTTCGGATGTGAAGGCATGGAGTTGGGACCTGATGCCAGTGAGTGTATACCTTAACGGCCAGAAAAGGATTTTCATGATGAGTATTGTTGTAGAACCTCGTGTTCGTGGAGCAACGGACATCTCGTGCAATTCCAATTCGGTCACACTCACTGTGAGAACGCAACGTCCGATGCATGGGCATGCCTACGCTGATCATTTCCACAACAGTCCTCAGTGCACTTTGGTGGGTGACCACGAACAAAACAGCCGCACTTGAACTACATGAAAATTGTAAAATTGAGAGTTCGGGAGTTGTATGCAAAAGACAGGTTTCTCCCTCCTTATAAGAGGGCGAGAGGAAGTGGGGTTCAGCCTTTGTTATAAGTTAAAGGCACAATTCACGATAATT